CTCCCAACAGCATGTGCATATCCTGCTTTTAATTCAAGTTTAAAATAATGCACGGCCAGTCAAAAGTTTGCAGTCAGTAAGGTTTTTTAATGTTTTTAACAAAAGTCTCTTATGCTCATCAAGGCTGCATTTATTTGATCAGAGATACAGTAATATTGTGAAATATTATTACCCAATTTAAAATAACTGTTTTATATTTGAATATATTTAAAAATGTAATTTATTCCTGTGATGGTAAAGCTGATTTTTTTTTAGGTTTCTTGAATAAAAAGTTTAAAACTGCAAACATTTGAAATAGTTTTTGAAAAGACTTTTACATTGCAAAAATGTGTTTGATTAATTCAATGCACTTTTAACAGTAGGGTACATACATTCTTCTTAATATATTTCACTACACGATGTTTTAAACACATTACACATAAATTTTAATCACATACCTTCATTTAGCATTTCATTTAAATTCACCAATAATTTATTACAGTAATTAATGTTTTAAATTTTAAAACATTAATTATTTTAAATAATTTTAAAAGACGATATCTCCATTTGCATTGAACTTTCAGCTTCGTATCTTTGCAGATATTGTTTATGCTCAAACAGCAACATTACACACTAACTAACGTTAAAAAAGTGAAATCGCAATCAAACACCCCTTTAAAATACACACTAAAGAGCCTCACATAAGACTTTTTTTTTTTTTTTTAAGTACAAATTGTTTGCACAAAAGGTAGTGGATATTTACAACTGTGCAGAATGCAATTTCAAAGCATATATGTGACCCTGGAGCACAAAACCAGTCTTAAGTCGCTGGGGGATATTTGTAGCAATAGCCAAAAATACATTATATGGGTCAAAATTATCGATTTTTCTTTTATGCCAAAAATCATTAGGATATTAAGTAAAGATCATGTTCCATGAAGATATTTTGTAAATTTCCTACCGTAAATATATCAAAAATGTATTATCATTAGTAATATGCGTTGCTAAGGACTTCATTTGGACAATTTTAAAGGCGATTTTCTCAATATTTTGATTTTTTTGCACCCTCAGATTCCAGATTGTCAAATAGTTGTATCTCGGCCAAATATTGTCCTATCCTAACAAACCATACATCAATGGAAAGCTGATTTATTCAAATGATGTACAAATCTCAATTTTAAAAAAATTGACCCTTATGACTGGTTTTGTGGTCCAGGGTCACATATTTTAAATTGTGCCTACGAGTGATCAAACCCCTGCCACTGTGTTGAAGCCACTGCTACGTTAAAGGTAAGACGTGGTTTAGTTTCATCCGTGTGTGAGCATGAAGGTGAACAGAAAAAAATTAAGCTATCTGACCTGGAAAGTGCAACACAGCTGTTATGAACACTGTCAGCAGTGACAGAATTTCTAACATGGACTGCGGAGATGTTATAACTGCTAAGCGGAGCACTGAGACAGGTCCGACAAATGAGAAAGAAGTTAAAGAAGCTCTGAAGCGGTGTTTCTAGGTCAGTGATTTTAAGAGGGAGCCATGAGGCACATCTTTCTCTTTCACACTTCAGAGAAAAAGCGGAAGAAGACAAGACAAATGTAAAAGAAAAAAGCTGAAGAAAAAAAAAAACTCGTTCCATATAAAGCCTGACGCAGCACTTTGAGCTATGAAAGTGTAGCTGACAACAACAAAGCTGGGATAAAAGAAATAATCCACACAGGGTTTATAATTTCATGCACACCTTTTTTAAACACACACCCATGACCAATTTTAAAGATCAGATGAAATCATTAATAAACCAGAGCCAGCCAGCGTGAAGATGACCTTAAATGAAGAGCAAGGTCAGAAGAGGAAGGCTGCGCAGAGATGTGCTCATAAATAAGCAATGCAATATATATCACACAGCAACAACACTGATCCAGCACGCCGATAGGAAGATGCCGCCCAGTTCCCCCATTATTGTCCTTCATATATGTGAAAAGACTTCTCTTCATTACTCCTCACCTTTTAAAGGGACAGCTCACCCAAAAATGACATTTCTGTCATTATTTACTCACCCTCAAGTTGTTCCAAACCTGTGTGAATTTCTTTCTTCTGTTGAACACAAAAGATGATATTTTGAAGAATGTTGGTAACCGAACTGTTGATGGTAGCCATTCTTTTTCCATACTATGGCTTCCATCAACTGTTTGTTTACCAACATTCTTAAATACCTTCTTTATGTTCCTCAGAAGAAAGTCAGTCACACAGGTTTGGAACAACTGGAGGGTGAGTAAATGATGATAGAAATTTCATTTTTAGGTGAACTATACAATTTAAAGTCAGGGAAGATTTTTCATTCATCTGTTCTCCCATCCAAAACCACACAAAAAAAAAAGTAGTTCCAGGGAAAGACACACCAATGAAATATGGAATGTGAGCTATAAGGGTCAAATTATATATATTTTTTTTTTAATTGAGATTTATATGATATTTATATGAATAAATCAGCTTTCCATTGATGTATGGTTTGTTAGGATAGGACAATATTTAGCCGAGATGGTGTGTTCAGATGTGTGCAGCACATTTTATAGAGGACTGTTTCCTGGTAGAGTAGACTACAATGCCGGCTGTCCTGATTCACAAACTGTAAGTACGTTTTTTATATTTAAAGAATTTGCCACTGACGATTCAAACGCGAGTTTTGAGCAGTGTAGAGTAGCACTTGTTGTTTGTCATTTCTCCGATCACAAATGCAAACATGGTTATGTTTACACGGTTGCGTTGCATCGCGTAAAAAGACAGTATGAGTCATTATAATCCGTAATTATGTCCCCACTGGATGCAACAAATGCCTCGTTTATAATGGGTTTTAATGTTTTTGTCTCGTCGCTCCGGCCGGGACATGGCATCACAATATGGTAAGGGGCGTAACATTTCCGTCACACACTTGAGGTATTCGGCCAATCACAACGCACTGGATAGCTGGCCAATCAGAGCACACCTTGCTTTTCAGACCGATGAGTTTTGTAAAAATCGACGCGTTTCAGAAAGGCGGGACATAGAGGAGAAACAATAATGTACAGTATGTGGAAAATAATGTGTTTTTTTTAACCTTAAACCGCATAAACACATTTCATTACACCAAATACACAAAATAATGTTCTTTTTAGCAACATCATATGACCCCTTTAATATCCTAATGATTTTTTAAGAAAAATAGATAATTTTGACCCATAAAATGTTTTTTTTGGCTATTGCTACAAATATACCCCAGCGACTTAAGACTGGTTTTGTGGTCCAAGGTCACATATGAATGAAGCTGTTTGAAATGTTTATCATGGAGTAATGCTTTACAATTTTGTTTACTAATTTTTAATAAAACACTAGCTTACTGTAAGTAGTAAAGCTAGTGTTCCATTTCAAGCATCTTTTGAACTTCCTGTTTGGCAAATGCATCTTTATTAGGCAGAAACTTAATTTCCATCAATTCAATTTGCGCTTTGCTATGATCACAGTAATTTGCTTCTTACATGTCCTCTTCAAACAGACTCGGCATTAATATTCAGCGGCTCCTGATCGCAGAGGATGATTAACATTGGCTCACCATCAGGGAATGTCTTCAGGATATTTGTTCAGGGTTTTTAATTAGCTTTTATGAATCTTAAAAGCATTGTGTGGGGGGAAGAATGTAACTGTGGCTTGGTCATGAATTACACATGTAACACCACCGTAAACAATTCAGTACATGAACTATCAACACAAACGTCAAGCAGAACAACAGCACAGCAATGAAACAAAAGAATCAACATTAACAGGGCAAGAAAATAGATCCACCTAAAACACCTTAACATTTCAGTCATACTGTCATGTGTTTATGGTTTTAAGGTTCACTTAAAGTGGGAACTAAACGTCTTTTCCAACTTGAGAACTATATACAGTCAGAAAGAGTTGTTTATTACACAGAATCTGTGCCAATATCATGGACCATAATTATGTCAGCATCACTTGGCCATTGAGTGTAGTTTGGGCTCCTCCTCAATGCATCCTATAAATGCTGTCATAGTCTTGCACACATCCAGTCTGTTTTTCTTCATTAGTAACATGCAATTATATAGGAGATGTTGAATTTTGTCTTTAGCTCCTTGCATTCTTTCTTATCGTGTAGACAACAGGTTAAGTAAAAATATGAATATGCAAGGTTAATGTAAGGTTAATTATTTATTACGTCAATAATAAATATTATTATTATTAGTCGCCAATGGCGATCTCAACAAAAATATTAACAATAAATAAATATAATTAATATTTTTGGTCGCAAATGCGACCGTTTTTGTCCTGTATGCAGCACAGAAAAGAACCACAACTGCAAAAAAACTCTATGCCATAAACTCAAATTACATACTTAAATAGCTGAAAAATCAGTATTACCATCACAGGAATAAATTAAACTTTAAAATATATTCAAATAGAAATTAGTGTAATGATATTTCACAACAATACTGTTTTTACTGCATTGTTTTACCAAATAAATGCAGCCTTGGTGAGCAATTTTCTTTCAAAAACAAAAAAATCAAATGAAAAACAAACAAAAAAAAACTTTCCAAAGGGAAAGTGTATATAAAATTATATTTACCTTTATTTACAGTATATATAAGGTTCCCAGTAACAACTGTGCTTGCATCTGTGCAATGTATTTCCTTTTGTATTGTGTTTCTAAGTTAGACATAAATACATACTTAAAATGTGGGTGTGTGTACCAACTTCACCATATTCTGGAGACAAATCTGTACTAAGAAGTTAACTAAATCTAACAAAATGTCTGTTTGGACACGTCTTCATTTGCTAAAATGGTATAAAAATGAAGTGAATCGTGTTTTTTATTGTTAAAATGTAGAATGCTTTCTGTTGAGGTCAGGGTTAGGGTGTTGGTTAGGTTATAGTATTTATAACTACAACTAGCATATAAAAACATCTGAAGTCCATGCAATGTCCTCATTTAGCTAAGAAAATGTTTATGTACTGTATGTGTGTGTGTGTGTTTAACCTCTTTGTCCATGCTGTCCAGGTCTTCTTTGCAGAGTGTGTAGAGCGGCATGGTTTCAGACATGCTGGGCTGGCGTTTCCTGCGGGAAGGTCCAGGCTGCTCATCGTCAGGACTCGATCCTGCAGCCTCATCCGTCTGCTGAGACCCCTGAGCTGACCTGAGCAAACACAGAAACAATCAATCGCTCAACACACACACTCCAGATCAGCGGCTGCTGTAATCAGTCTCCAAGGGAAATATGTATATCAAGTAGGGCTGCACGATAAATCGCATGCGATATTTAACGCGCATCTTATCAGTAAAGCCGGTTCTGTAATCAGCGGTAAATCTCCATCACCTGCGTGCTTTCACATTGAGCAGCATTAACTACACAGAGCCGTTGTTCACTGACGAGCTGCGCAAAACCACGTTCATATTCGCGCGATTTTTTGCGCTGCTCGTCAGTGAACAACGGCTCTGTGTAGTTAATGCTGCTCAATGTGAAAGCCCGCAGGTGATGGAGATTTACCGCCGATTACAGAACCGGCTTTCTGACAAGATGCGCATTAAATATCGCATGCGATTTATCGTGCAGCCCTAATATCAAGCAAAACTGGCTGAGTTTGCTCTGACAGAGCAGCAAAGCAGGACAGCGGCTCTCCCGGTCTGAGCAACACCCGAATAAGCAATCAAGAGCAAATCAAGAAATAAAACCCACACACACACACACACACTGCACAAGCCCGTCCACAGCAGACAGCAAACATTCAATCACATCTCCACTTCTGTCAAGAGGAGCCACAACATGATAATTATGATAATTCTGCACAGGGAAGCAGAATTACATGTGCTCCTGCAGTCTGTTTGAACACAGGTTTAAACAAGCATTTTTAAATCAATGAGTTCTAAAAAAAATCTGCATATGATTTTTGAAATCCGGCGTCTGTTCTGACCTGGTAGAATGTAAGTCATAGATTACTATTTTGTCGAATAAAACCATATTTTATCTGCTCAATGACTTCTCATTAATGAGTGAAAGCAGGAACATTTCAGAGTTTTGAATGTTACCGTGTTATTACTACATTTCTGCCCCATTCTATAAAAAAAAAAAAAAAAAGAAATTTCAATTTCTAAAACTACTGAAAAAAAAACACTGTAATGAAGGAAGAAATTATATTAATTTATAAATTAAATTTCAATATACATTTATATGATATTTATAAAATACAAATAACCTGAGAATTACTAGTATTAACTACACTTAAATAAATGCATTTAATTACATTCCTTTGCATTTATAATTCATGACTGCTCAAAAATTCATGAAAACTACTAATTAATTTTCTAACAAAACATAAATATCACTCTGGATGTTTTTAAACAAAATATATTAATTTTACCTGCATAAACTTCCACTTTCATTCTTCACACTGCAATGGTTTATCAATAAACATGCATCAACTAAATTTAGTCACAAAAAGTGTGTGTGAGATATAGGAAAAAAAAAAATATAAAAAAGTCATTATCTCAACATTTAAAAAAAAAAATCTACACAAATATACAGCACTCATGTTAAGCACAAAGTCTGTTATAGGTGAGGGCGCAGACATCGATTCACACAATCTCTCATTTTGTTTCATTTCATACTCAGAGTAACAGAAGACCTAGATGCATAATGCAGACTTGCAACACTCAGCAGCAGTGTCATCTTGGAAAGGTCAACATGTCAGGTCAAGTTCATCAGAAATCATCACTAGCCAACTTACTGTCATTGCATTGACAAAACAGCAAGACAAAAAGAAAAAAAAAAACTTTCAGAGTGTAGAGAATGTACACGAATATAACATGGTAATTAGCAACAAGTCGTTTATGCAGCATATCTATGCTTTGAAACATCCAATCAAACGTTTAACTTAAGAGCTGTGGACGGCTCAATGGTTTCCGTAGGAACTGAACCCAAAAAGTACTGCTGTCAAACGATTAATCGCGATTAATCGCATCCAAAATAAAGGTTTTTGTTTACATAATATATGTGTGTGTGCTGTGTTTATCTATTATGTATATATAAATACACACACATTCATTATATATTTTGAAAATATTTACATGTATATACATTTATATATTTATATTATATATATGTTTAATATATAAACATAACATCTTTTTCTTAAATATATAATGAATGTGTGTGTATTTATATATACATAATAAATAAACACAATACACACTCATATATTTTGTAAACAAAAACTTTTATTTTAGGATGTGATTAATCGCGATTAATCGTTTGACAGCAGTACCAGAAAGTTGTAGACTAGTCTGTGAAGCAACAAACTCTAAAATCACAGTGAAGAAACTGAGGGATGCTGAAGCTTCACAAACGGTCTCCTCCTGCTGATACGAGAGAGACCATGACTGACACTAGACTGCAGAGAATTCTGGGAGCTCTGCTGGACAGAGCCAAAGCCACAGGAAGGCAAGCCTGCAACCTTTAGCAGAAAAAAGCATAATGGCTAATGCTAATGCTAAGGAGACCACAGGCCATTGTATGATTGGCTGAGGTGCCTCACGTGATCCAAGTTAGCCATTATGCTTTTTCCAATGGCAAGTACTACAGACGCTCACATCTCCCAATAATAAGACAATCTCTGACAGAGCAGCTTCAGCAAGTCCAGGTCTAATGACTCTAAACATTTACTGTCAGATTTCGAAGATAAGCAGAATTTCAAAAGTCATAACATCATTTAGAAACTAAACACAAGAGTGACTTCATAATTTAAGTCTCAACTCCAGTTTTCCGCATCATGGATATTTCCATTCAGGTTTAATAATAAAGAGAAAACGGAGTTGCTTAAATAACCATATAATCATGACCATGAAATTGATAATGGTCAATAAAGCTCAACTTTAAGAACTTTTCTTAAAGTCGGCATGAAACGGAAGTTGAGATTGTCCTTTTTTTCCTGTTGTGACGTATATACGAGTCAAACGGCTTCTGAAATGAGAAAAAATGCAGGGCGGGGCTTGATTTCGTCCTTCGGGAATTGATTGGATCGTTGAAAGTTGGGCCCTTACGCCATAGCACATGACAGGAAGAGAAGAGAAGTGCTATGCGCAGTGTTATTTTACATTTAATTATTAAATTTCTGTACCTGAATACTACTGTTTATTTTATCTATGCTTGTAATTTGTGAATTTGTTCTTTTTTTACTGACTGTTCACTTGCCTTTAATCATGTTTGAACTTTCTTAGGCTATAGTTTTTGCTGTGGTATATGGAGAAGTACTTAAAGTGTACTTTAAATAATAAACGGAAAGTTACATTAATATAAAATTAGTGGCATTAATTTTTTTGTTTGTTTGTTCACATTGATGTTAAAATCACATTTTCTGATTTGTGATATTACTTTTTATGTAATGCTAAAACACTGCTGGTCACTTTCAGAAGCTGTAGTGATGCTTTCTTTTCCAAGAAAGAATGTGAAACATATATTGGTTATATAATTTTAATTTTTAAATATTTTAAAATATCATTTAAATTGATTTTACACAAGTAAAGCAATACCGTTTTGCATATCGAATATCGCATTATTTAACAAGGTATCGCATTTTTAGGCAATATCATCATCACTGCACTTTTTTTTTTTGTATTTATTTTTTTGCTGGTGAAAGTTACAGGAGTGCATATGGTGTGTGATATGAACTCTAAACAATAATCATTGTTTATCATAATTTACTGTCTTCCGTCCTATGTTCAAGGGCTTCTGGAGAAAAAAAAAACAGCTTCCCGCACAAGGGAGAGGGACAGTCCATTAAACATATGAGGGATTTATATTGTGTGTGTATCTGATTATTATTAATTAAATGCTAGGTTTCAGTACTTATCTACAGATAATGTTCAATAAAATACACACAATCACGCATAACGTAAACGGTTTGTTAGATTTTAATTGCAAGTGCTTATAGCGATACTTCTCTTATGTGGTATAGGCTATTATTTACAGTTGACGACATTATTCAAAAAATGTCCACGAATCTAGTGCCTAAGCCAAATATAGTGTCGCCTATTTAGGCACATTTTAACTATATGCGCTATGAGCACTCCCTCGGAGCGTGTATTCAGTGCGGCTGGCAACATTGTCACACCGTTAAGATCCTCGCTGAAACCAGACAAAGTGAACATGTTGGTTTTCCTGGCACGAAACATGAAGACCGAAAAATAAAGCAGCAGGACTTGCCGATTCACTTAAGCGGCCCAGTAGTTGTACAACAGCCGAACACTTGTACAGACTATAGGCTAGGCTGATGTTCCCTTTTTATGTTGCACTTTAAAAAAGGTTGTTATTATAAATGTAGCCTAATAAATAGTTAAATAATATTAATGATAATTTGCGGTTACGAACGATGAATTATTAAAAGTTTCAACAAGTTGCAACAAGTTGCGTTTGGACGAGTGAGTTTATATCCACAGACTGTTACCCGAAAAACAATATCTCTAAAGAAACCGGAATCAAAGTTTTGCACAACCAGAACTAAGCAATGTTGGGGCATGTTGAGCTCAGCTTGTTCTTTCTGCATTATTACAGGAAAACGCCTGGTGATTACAGTACTGAGCCGCTGCAGTGGAGCAGCTCTAATGTGCTATTAAATTAAAGATGAAGTACCATAGAGCAAAAAAAAAAAAGAACAGTGAAAGTAACAAAAGCTTGTACAACCCATTTTAATGGGCAAAATTATGTGTGAAAATAACTGAAGGAAATATCTATTTGCTAAACTAACCAAGCCAAGTAACATTATTCATATTCTTTTGGTTTCTGTACTCAGTATTTAAAAAAAATTACAAATGCAATGAAAATACAGGTATTGGTACTCTGTATCGGCAAGTACCAAAAATAAAAGTATCGGTATCAGCCTCGTTCTGGAAAAAGTGGTATTGGTGCATCCCTAATAGAAGCGTCATTAAAGAAGTCCGTATGACTCCAAGTGATAGAATTCATCTACCATCCATTAATCACAATTAAGCTTTGTGCTTAAAGTCTCAGTTTTCAGATAAAATTTATAACAAAATTCAGACAATAAAAGTCATTTTGATGCTCTTTAATGTGTCGTGACAGACTGCATTTTCATCACTACTAATTATCTGTATATATTTGTTTGTTATTTTATTGACAACCTT